TCTATTCGTCCAAGTCTTCTCTTGTATTCTTTAGGTATATTTAGATGAAAGTTTTTCAAACCTGCACCATCATTTGTAAGGTGGTTTACACCTGCGTTTGTAAGGATGGTTTATTTTTATCCCAGAGACTCTAGACCAACTCCGGTCTGGCCAAATCAGCTAACTTCTTTGCTGTTTGATGGGCTGAACCATACCCTCTCTAGTGAGATCTGAAAAACATTTTCATCTTTTTAGGTGCTCTCTCTCTCAGCCTGAGGGTACCATATGGAGTTTCCCTGTTTCTTATAGTGATTATTTTATCATAGTAATACTTTGTATTAAACTTTGTCTGTTTAACCTATTGCATGATTTCTTTCTTCTGATTGGCCCTAGACTGCTACATCTTGCGATTTATCAGTTTTTGTTTTACATATTTGAGGCTTTGTTGTTTGGTGTGTACACGTTTGGGATCGTTATGTCTTCTTTGTGGATTGATCCTTTTATAATTATAATGTATTTTGCTATCTTTAGTGATGTTCTTTTTTCTGACATCTACTCTAGCTGATATAAATATACCCACTTCTACTTTTTCTTTTTGATTAGCATTTACGTGGCTTTTTAAATCTTTTAGCTTTCAACTTGCCTATGTCATTATACCTGAAACGGATTTCTTGCAGATAACATATTTTTAGACTTAATAAAAAATTCATTCTACCAATCTTTGTCTTTTAATTGTGGTATTTAAACCATTTACATTTAGGGTAATTATTGATATGTCAGTGTTTAAATCTGCCACTTTATTATTTGTTTCTTCTGTCTTTTATTTCTCTCTCTTTTTTTTTTTTGCTTTCTTACCTTCCTGTGGATTATTTGAACATTATTTTAGGATACTGTCTTGATTTATTTATTGTGTTTTAGAGTATATCACATTCTATATTTTCTTAAGGGTTGCTTGAGGTATTACAGTGCATACATAACTTACCGTAGTTTACTAATACTGTCCTACCACTTTGAGTGAAGTATAGAAACCTAACTTTCATTTAGGTTCCTTTACCCTTCCAATTTTAAAATATTTTTTTAGTCCTTTTTTTAAAAATTTGAGACAGGGTCTCACTCTGTCACCCAGGCTGGAGTGCAGTGGTGTGATCTTGGCTCACTGCAACCTTCCCCTCCTAGGCTCAAGCAATCCTCCTACCTCAGCCTTCCAAGTAGCTGGGACTACATATGCACACAACCACATCCAGCTAATTTTTTGCATTGTTAATAGGAACAGAATTTTGCAACGTTGCCCAGGCTGGTCTCAAACTCCTGGGCTCAAGCAATCTGCCCACCTCAGCCTCCCACAGTGCTTGAATTACTCACTGCCCCTGGCCAAATTGTTTGAAGTATGTCTTCAACCTATGTGGAGTACCACATCAGATGGTTTTATAATTTTTTGCATTAGACATTGAATATTATTTCAAAAAGTCATGAATGAAAGAAAATCACTAAATAAGTGGTGGGATATTCTATGTTCATGGAGAGGAAACTTAATGTTGTTAAAATTAAACATCATTTCAACCAAAATCTTGGAAAGTTATTTTGTGGATATCAACAACTGATTCTAAAGTCTATAAGGAGAGGCAAAAGACTCACAATAGCCAATACAAAATTGAAGGGGAAGAACAAAGTTGGAGGACAGCCACTACTGGCTTCATGACTTACTACAACTCTATGGTAATTAAAATAGTATAGTGGTGGTGAAAGAACAGACAAATGGATCAATGAAACAGAATAGAAAGTCCAGAAATGGATTCACATAAATAGAGTCAAGTGACCATTGACAAAGGAGCAAAACAATAAAATGGAGAAAAGATAGCTTTTTCTACCAGTGATGCTGTGATAAGTGGACATCAACATACAAATCCCAGCACCCCCCCACATAAATCTAGACATTGACCTTACACCCTTCACAAAAAGTAACTCAAAATGGATCACAGGCCTAAATGTAAAATATCAAACCATAAAATTCCTAGGAGATCTAGAAGAAAGTCCTTAGGACTTTGCATTTGGTGATGACTTTTTAGATATAACACCAAAGGCATGATCTATGAAAGAAAGAATTGGTAAATTGAATTTTATTAAAAGGAAAACTTTCTGCTCTGTGAAAAACAGTGTCAAAAGGATGAAAAGACAAGCTGTGGATTGGGAGAAAATATTTGCAACACACGTAGACACGTCTAATGTAAGACTGTTATTCAAAATATACAAAGAACATTTCAAACTCAACAATAAGAAAACAAACAACATCATCAAAAAATGGGCCAAAGACCTTAACAGACACCTTACCAAAGAATATATATAGCAGGCAAATGAGCATATTAAAAATGCTCAACATCATATGTCAGTAGGGCAACACACATTAAAACAACAATGAGATACCACTACATGTCTTTTGGAATAATCCAGAACACTGACAACACTAAATGCTGACAACAAGAAGTCTTATTCATTGCTGGTAAGAATGCAAAATGGTATAGCTGCTTTGGAAGACAGTTTGGTGATTTCTTACCATATGGTCCGGTAATCATTTTCCTTGGTGTTTACCCAAAGGAATGGAAAACTTATGTGCACACAGAAACCTGCACATGAATATTTATAGCAATTCTAGTCATACTTTCCAAAACTTAGAAGTATCCAAGATGTCCATCAGTAGTTGAATGGATAAATAAACAGTGGTGCCTCCAGGCAATGGAATATTATTTAGTGCTAAAAAGAAATGAGTTATAAAGCCATGAAAAAAACATGGAGACTTAAAGGTAAGGACTTAAGTGAAAGAAGACAACCCAAAAGTCTAGTTGAAATACTGCATTATTTCAACTGTATGACATCCTGGAAAAGGCAGAACTATGGAGACAGTAGAAAGATCAGTGGCTGTCAGGGGTTGGCGGAGGCATGGCACAGAGGATTTTTAGGGCAGTGAAGCTACTCTGTATGATACTACAATAGTAGATACATGTCATTATAAATTTATCCAGACCCACAGAATGTACAATTCCAAGAATGAACCCTAATGTAAACTATGAATTTGGGTGATAATGATGGGTAATGTATGTTCATCACCCATAACAAATGTACCACTCTGGTGGGGGATTTTGATAGTGAGGGAGGCTATGCACATGTGGGGGCAGGAACTATATGGGAAATCTCTGTACCTTTTAATCAATTTTGCAGTGAGCCTAAAACTGCTCTAAAAAAGTCTATTAAAAACCCGTAATAAGTAATCTAGTCTACTATATTTTTACTCATTCTGAAGTTATTTCTTTTCTGAAAGTTCTAACCTTCTTCTCCTATCATTTCCTGTCTGTTTAGAGAACTACCTTTAGCCATTCTTTAAGTCAGCTTGCTAGCAAACATTCTCTTACATTTTTTTGGTCTGATAAGATGTTTATTATTTCTCTTCTTCATTCTTGGAGGATATCTTCACTGAATATAAGATTTGCCATTGACAATTATTTTGTCTTTGTACTTGAAAAATGTTGAGCCACTTGTTTCTGGCCTCTGTAGTTTCCAATGAGAAATCTGCTATCATTCCAATGGTTTTCTCTCCAGCTGCCTTCAAGGTTTTTTCCTTGGCCTTAGTTTTCAGAAATTTAATTATTATGTTTTTTGACATGGGCTTCTTTGGGTTTAGCTAATTATTTGCTCAGCTTACTGAACCTGTAGGTTTATTATGTCTTTTACCAAGTAGGGGAAGTTTTTAGCTATTATATCTTATACTACTTTTTTGGTCCAGTCTCTGTCTTTTTTTTGCTTTTCGAAACTGAAGATGTGCATGTTGGCTCTGTTGCTATTGTCCCAAATGTTCCTGAGAAATATTTGTCTTATTTTTCAGTCTATATTTTCTTTGTTGTTCAGATTGAATAAATTCTATTGATTTGTGTTCCAGTCCAAAATAAAATATCTTAGATCAGGTTGCCTTTAAATAACAGAAATTTATTTTTCGTATTCTGGAGACTGGGAAGTCCAAGATCAAGGTGCCAGAAGATTTGGTGTCTGGTGAGGGTCTTGCTTTCTGGTTCATAGATGGTGCCTTCCTGCTATGTCCTAACATAGTGGAAGGAGCAAGGCAGCTCTCTGGGACCTCTTTTGTAAGGGCATAAATCTTACTCATGAGGGTGAACTGCTCATGACCTAATCATCTCCCAGAGCCCCTACTTTCTAATATAATCACCTTGATGATTAGGATTCAACATACAAATTTTTGAGGACATACAAACATTTAGACCATAGCAATCTGTCATCAAGTTCACTGATTCTATTTTGTCATCTATACTGCATTCTTGAGTTCATCTAGGGAGATTTTAAAAATTTTGGTTATATTTTTCAGTTCTATGATTTCCATTTTATTCTTTTCTATAACTTGTGCTTCTTTTTTCTGTTTTTGTTCCATGTATTTCAAGAGAAATTATAATTGCTTATTGAAGCGTGGTTATGATAGTCGCTTTAAAATCCTCATCAGATAATTCCAATGTCTGATTAATCTTGGTGTTGGTATCTGTTGATTTCTTTATCATTCATGTTGTGATGTTCCTTGTTGCTGTGATGGTTCTTAGTAAATTCTTTGTATGTGTTCTGATGGTTCCTTGGTATGATGAGCAATTTTTTATCATGTCCTAGACATTTTGGATATTTTATTATGTGGCTCAAGATTGATTGAATATTTTTAGCATGGAGTCCCTTGTTGAGGTATATTGAGATGTCCACTGGCCATGTATATTCAGCTTCCTGTTGAGCTGACTTACAGTTGTTGAAAAGGTATGGAGTAGAAATTCAGCTCCCCTCTTTGGCCCTGCCAACACCTACTCAACTGATGTAGGGCATTGAATCTCACGGCCTCAGTTGCCTTCAAATGGGAATATGAGATCATCCCCTCCCCACTGGGCTGAGCTGCCATCAGGAGGGGGGAAGTTGAAAGCTGACCCACATCACTTTGTGGTCACCCGGTTTGGGATGGAAGCTCAGTTCTCTTCTGGGCGCTAATGACACCAGGGAAGGAGAGGGGTGAATTAAGTAGGTGAATGTGGTAGGAGATAGGGTGCCAACTGACCCTATCTCCTACCACATCCTTTTTCCTTGTTAATACCAAGTAGGGGTGAAGTCTTAGCTTCCCATTGGGTCCTGCTGATGGGGTGTTGGTATGAAGCAGGGTGTGACTAGACTTACCTTGCATATTCTTGCTAGGCTTTGTTGTTGCTGGGTATAGATGGCCACTACTGGACTCCACTAATGCTACCCTGGCACCACCTGCTTTTGCTGTGCAGGAGATAGAAGATCAGTTCCCTAATTGGCCCACCAAGGTGTACGCCCGGTCAGGAACTCAGACACTCCATCTGCTCTGCAAGACAAGAGGTGGAAGAGGTGGAAGACTAATTCTCCCCTCAGCCTTGCAGCGAGGAATGGGAGCGCCCCTCTTGCTTTTGCAGGGTTAGGGGGTAGAGAGGAAGAGCAGCGCCCCCCTGAAGCCACGGGAGAGGAAGAGCAGCGCCCCCCTGAAGCCGCGGGAGAGGAAGAGCAGCGCCCCCCTGAAGCCGCGGAAGAGCAGCGCCCCCCTGAAGCCGCGGGAGAGGAAGAGCAGCGCCCCCCTGAAGCCGCGGGAGAGGAAGAGCAGCGCCCCCCTGAAGCTGCGGGAGAGGAAGATGGGTGTGTTTTGCTCTGGTGTTTTTCTCCTGTAGGGTGGGTATCTCCAAGATTTTCTGTCATTAGGCCATCCTTTTCATATCCTCTGGCTCTGAGATGTAGCCTGAGTGCGGTCTTCCAGGCTCAGGCTGTGCGTTGCATGGAAACATGCTAGGTGGCCAAAGAGGAACCTCTCCTCCTGCGTCAGTTTAGGTTCATTGAGAAGTGGACACCAAGATGAGACTAGATGTACAAGAGATTTAATTGGAGAAAACACCTGTGAAGGTTAAGTGGGAGGGAGCTGGATTGGTGGGGAGAACCCCCAGAGCAAAGGCCGTCAGGTCTGGCCCCCTTGAAAAGAGAGGGGCAGGAAAGGGTTGATCTGCGAAAGCCACAGACCACAGTGAAGTGATGGCAAGTCTCTGCAGGCAAGTGGGGGTCCCAGAGCAGGTCACCTCTTGGGCAGGCATGGCCTGACTCTAGAACCTCGTGAGGCTCAACCATCAGCTGGTAGCAGCCAAGAGATGAGCAGCCTCACGGTGAATGTAGTTACCATCACTCTGTTAATTCAAAGGTGTGGCGGCTGGAGGCAGGTATTCTCGAAGGCAACCCTGAATGGCAATCCTTATGGCCACTACAGTCCACCTCTTGTAACATGCATGACACTCCCTCTCCCCTATCTCCCAAATGCTGCTTTTAAGTCATCTCAGACAATTTTCAAAGCCCTGCAGAGCAGGAGGTGCTGCAGTCTTGTTTTAAGATGGTCTTGGCCGGATGCAGTGGCTCACGCCTGTAATCACAGCACTTTGGGAGGCTGAGGCAGGTGGATCACAAGGTCAGGAGTTCAAGGCCAGCCTGGCCAATATGGTGAAACTCTGTCTCTACTAAAAATACACACACACACACACACACACACACACAGATTAGCTGGGTGTGGTGGTGGGCACCTGCAGTCCCAGCTGCTCGGGAGGCTGAGGCAGGAGAATCGCTTGAACCTGGGAGGCGGAGGTTGCAGTGAGCCGAGATCGCACCACTGCACTCCAGCCTAGGCAACAGAGTGAGACACCATCTCAAATAATAATAATAATAATAATAATAATAATAATAATAAGATGGTCTTGTCTGGAAATCCTGTCAGACATCCCTCCTGGTGTCTGACTGTATTGAACACCCAGTCTATGTAACACACACACTGTGCACAGTATCAAAGAAGCGTTATGATGGACACAGCTTTTCTATCTGAGCCCAGGGTCAAAGTATCCACAGCCTCCCCTCAGTCACCAATTATTGGCTGTCTTGTTTTGTATCTGTTCCTCACAGGTATGATTTAAGCTTGGATGAAATGAGAGCTTTGACAGTTCAGAGAGTGAGGTTTGCCATGGGTCTACCTCTGTTAAAACGTGCAGTTCAGGATCTGGTAAGTGTCACTGTTATTTTGGTATGGGGTGTGTGTGTGTGTGTGTGTGTGTGTGTGTGTGAGAGAGAGAGATTTTTTTTCTTTCCAACTTTTATTTTAGGTTTAGAGGGTACATGTGCATTTTTGTTATATGGATAAATTGGGCGTTAGGGAGGTTTGATGTACAGAGTATTTCGTCACTCCAGTAGTGGGCACAGAACTCACGATAGGTGGTTTTTTGACCTTCACCCTTCTCTTACCCTCCTCCCTATTGTTTTCTTCCTTGTGTCTGCGTGTACTCAATGTTTAGCTCTCACTTATAAGTAAGAACATGCGGTATTTGGTTTTCTGTTCCTGTGTTAATTTGCCTAGAGATTTTGTTTTGTTTGCTTTTGTGACTTGCTAAGCCCGTTGATCTCATGCTGAGGGCAGCTGACAGACACGTCTCGGTGGAGGAGAACGTCTTCCTCAGGCCCCTTTTCTGCCGCACTCCCACTAACCTAAGGAACCCTTCCTTCGGCCCACACATTCACTTCTCCAATCTCACAGGCAAGGGAATAGGAGTATCAGCAGAAGTAATAAAATATTTGTACACAAAACCAATATAATTTTAGGGATAAAGTTAAATAGCTGGGAAATAGAAATAACTCATCTTAAGGGCTTTTAAAGCACTTTAGACTTATCCAAAATTTATGTCTTATTTGTCTAAAAACTGTCATTCTAAATTTAGTGATATTATTTTAGTCAATTTAGCCTCATGAAAAAAGGAAGAAACAAAGAAAAAAATACGTGTTTAGTGAGTTCCTTTGTGTCAGTATTAGGAATGATATATTTTAGCCAAGTTCATTCAGCTTCATGGCTTTCTTAACATTTTACATAGGAAAAAATATACCTCAGCAGGGTGTGGTGGCTCACATCTGTAATCCCAGTACTTTGGGAGGCCAAGGTGGGCTGATCCTGGGCAGAGCCCAGGAGTTCAAGACTGGCCTGGGCAACATGGTGAAACCCTGTTTCCACAAAAAAATACAAAACTGGCCAGGCACAGTGGCTCATGCCTGTAATCCTAGCACGTTGGGAGACTGAAGCAGGTGGATCACTTGAGGCCAGGAGTTCGAGACCAGCCTCGCCTCAACATGGCGAAACATGGCCTGGGCAACATGGTGAAACACCATTTCTACTGAACAAACCAAAACAAGACAAAACAAAACAAAAGTTAGCCAGGTGTGGTGGTGCACGCCTGTAGTCCCAGCTACTTGGGAGGCTGAAGCATGAGAACCCCTTGAACCAGGAGGCAGAGGTTGCAGTGAGCTGAGATTGCACCACCGCACTCCAGCCTGGGCAACAAAGCGAGACTCTGTCTCAAAAAACAAAAACAAAAACAAAACAAAACTCAAAAAGCCCAAAAAACTAAACAAAACAAAAACTAGCCAGGCATGGTGGCCCACACCTATAGTACCACCTACTTGGGAGGCTGAGGTGGGAGGATCGCTTGAGGCCCTGGAGGTTGAGGCTGCAGTGAGCTATGATCGCACCACTGCACTCCAGCCTGGGCAACCAGAGTGAGACCCTGTCTCAAAATGAACAAACAAACAAAAAACCCCAAACCACCCCTCCTGTGAGAGCCCCTAGGGGAGGAGCCTGAACTGGGATAGCTGCAGCTCAGTGGCGTGCTGAGGAGCCGGCCCTATCCTGAAGCAGCCCAGCCCTCTCCCCACCCAGCATGGTCTGGGAGGGAGAGTCTGAGGATTGACGGATGGAGTCCTCCTCGTTCAGGAGACTGCAGGGGCGCCTTTCTTTGTGGAGCGTAGAACAGAGCTAGTGGAGGCCTGGGATCCATGCTTGAAAGTAGATCCTTCTCCTTTCCCCACAATCCCACCAACCTTTGGTAGGTTGTCTAAGGAGACAAGGACCAATCCTGGAGTCTTCTCAGGAAGGAATTACAGGCAGAGCCTTGGCACCACCTGCACTGCAGTACTGCAGGCACCTCCACACTGATGAGGGCACTGCAGTGTCAGCTGAGCTGGAGAATGTGCAGATGGAGGTTCACTTGGCACAGGAAAACTCCCACATGACAGAGTGGAGCGTGCTTGCAAAGTGTAAAAAATCATTTCATACCGAGCAGTTTGGCAGAGATTTTCAAGCTAGGAAATTGCCTCTTGATGGAGCATCCATTTAGAGCTGTGAATACAACCAAAAAAGAAAAAAAAAATACAAAAACAACCAACCTCTTTGCTGCCAACCACTCTCTTTATCAGACTAGCCTCCAAGTGCATTCAGCATGGGGCTGGTTGGAAGGTGAAATCTTGGCCTGTGGCCAGCTTCTTGCTCCCTTAATCAGCCCAACATGTCTGTGGCTTAACTTAGTGTCAATACTCGAGACCTGGACGTGAGAGCTGATCCCTTAATGAGGCTTGTTAATTGCCACCCGACCCGCTGAGTCTGAAGGATTAGCCTCTGTAATCTCGTTCCTGATGAAGCGTGTTGAGCTCTGGATCCAATTATCTTCCTGTTTTCCTGGCTCACTTAGTGGCCTTAGGCAGCCTGGACAACTCTCTGTCCTGGGTGATTAGATATAATTCCTCCAGGAGGCACAGGATTGGCCCTAGACGATCCCTCCAGTCATTTCTGTGAATTATCTTGGCCCGTTTGGCACCTCTTTCTGTATGAATTCGCAAAAGCCAGTAAACCCGAAGGAAACCAAACTGTCCATCAGTGCGGCAGGCTCATCTCGCTGGGCGGATGTCATGAGACTCAGCGGCACATCTGTGTTTGAAGGCTCTCAAATTTCACCCTGTAAAACAGCTGGAGGAGCTGTCCACATCCAGTAATTCTAGAAGTGTTACATGATTCGTCCTGCCTCTTAATAAAACGATTGAGTCATGGCTGTCCTGCCTGCTCAGGGAGCGTGGCAGGCCCGTCTTTGTTTCCCTGGACCCCCTTTGGTGTTGCGCTTCACTTTTGTGGATGATCCGATGAGCTCTGAGGCAGAACGCAGTGTATAATGTGTAATGATGATGTTCTAGGGGACAAATGAGGAGGGAGTCTCATTCGCCGCAGGTCTCTATGGACAGTCCGCAGGCCAAGAATAAGCCATTAGAATATTTCCACGCTGTGTTTTCCCCTCTGCCGTCTGTAATAGATTTTAGATGTTTCAATCATTTTAAAGGGAAAAAACAGTATGAGTCTGATTGCAGAGTGCGCGTGCACACACATACAGACACACACACACACACACAGTGTGAACACCATCATTGTTCTCTGTGCCGACTTCTGCACCTGTTTCTAGTGACATCACCTTTGTGCACCTCAGCCAAGAGCTCTCTTGTTCCCCTGAAGTTTCCAGAATTGGATCCTGGGCAGGGAGAGTCACCAACTGCCTCTATTTCCAGATGCAGAGACAGAAGACCCAGGTCTTAACATCTGCTTTGTGGCAGTGTCTTGTCCTATGTGGGGACAGCTTCCTCAGAGATGCTCATCCCTGGAAGCTGACAGAGTCTGACAGCGTGCACTGATCTTCACCATAACAGACAGTGACAACTCAGGTTGACTGAGTACATGTTCTATGCCAGTCCCAGCACGAAGAACTTTAAATAGATGATGTCATTCAATATTCACACCATCCCTCGTGGCATTCCCATTTTACAGATAAGTAAACTGAAGCTGAGTAATTGGACTGAGGTTAGTTATACAATTAGTGAATTGTATGTATAAATGACTAGTGAACCAGAGATTCAAACCCAGGTGCTCTGCTTCCTGAGCCCATGTCAAACAGGTGGTGCTTGGCTCTGTCTGCACGATAGAAACAGCCAGACAATTTTCAAAGCTCCTGCTGTGAAGGCTTTTGCTCGGGCCAATGAGGTCAGCATTTACATCTTCCAGGTGACCCACTGTGCATCTGGGGTTGAGGACTGCTGCACTATGCCTCCTTTCCTGCACCCTGTCTCCCCAAAATTGTTCCCATTAAGCATTTGGTCCCTATCAATCAGGGTTTGCGGCTGGCTCATAAGGAAACTGCATCTCAACATTACCTTTCCCCAGGAGGGAGCCAGCTGGGATGAGGCTGCTTTCAGCCAAGTGTAGTGCGGGTTGGGGACAGATACCTGGATAATGAAAATCCTACCCCTGACTCCTTCCTCCCACCACCACTCTACAACCATTCTCTCTCTCACCCAGAGTTCTAGTTTTTATCCCCATGATCCACACGAGTGAGGGGCATAGTTGCACCATCATTATCTAAACCAGTGATTCTCAAAGTAAGGTCCTGTGTGTCCCCAAGACCCTTTCAGGTGCTACCTGGAAAGCATATGTCCAACTACGTGCATGTAAGACACTGGATATTCATCATAAACTTCAACCAAAACAACATATCACAGCAGACAGCACAAAGCAGACGTGAAAGTGCAGCTATCTTTTATTAAGCCAGATATTAAAACAATGTGAAACAATGCCATTCTTCTCATGAGTTTTTTGAAATTATGATTAGTTTTCGTAACAATTCTGCCATATGATAAATTGACAGCTATAGCCTGGACAAACAAAACCTCTTTGGAATCCTCAAAAAAGGTCCAGGGACCATAAAGGTTGAGAGTCACTGATCTAAATCATCTACTATTTTCTCAGGAAGCTCAGTCTCAGCAGATCAGAGGGGAACTAGTAGGACATTGGTTGCATTTCATTTATATTACATGTATTATGATTATTATTTTTATCAGAATTTTAGGTAATCTCCATTTGAGGTGTTTTTGTATTTAGAGAAATACCTGGTGGGTGATCAGATCTAAAATGGAAGAACGTTGTAAGGTCAGCTCACCTTAGAAGGTGTTTGGGAATGCCAGGGAGGATGGTTACTTTTCTACTCACACCCTGAGAGAAGAAACAGCCTTTCCCAGGAAGCATTTACATTTAAGCCCTGAGAGTGTTGTGCAAAAGGAGCTGAGCCAGGAATCTGCCAAGAGGCTGAGATGCCTGTCCTGTCCCAGTCCCAACTCACCCAGGCCCCGCGCTGTTGCCCACAACGTCCA